ATACTGGTAATTATAATTAAAGTTCCTGCATTTAATACTGTCTGGAGAGCAATATAACCAGATCTTATATGCTGATGTTTCCAGACATGCAGAAGAGATTTATATAGGAAAACATTCAGTTCCAAAACTTGCCACTGTAGTAATGCATTGAGTTACAAAAAATACATATATAAATGCATGTGTGTATGAATAATGCAGATAAGCTATGATCAATTTTGGATATAAATCTACCTATACCATGTGAAATACCATTTGTATCACTGCAGATCAGCAGCAATGGTCATGACTATACCTGAATTTATTTTTCTTGTTAAGCTGTTTAATGAAAATGATACCAGTGTCATGAGTGTGATTTGAAAGTTATGTCTTAAGAAATTGCACTAAAGTTTTTCTTTCCACTTATAGCACAAATAATAATAAGTTATGGAAATAAACTTTTTTCCTTAGAACAATCAGAAATGTCAGAAATAAAAAGTTTGGTTGTGTTTGGACTGCTGTATATTCTTTCAAACAGCATTGAGTAAGGACACTTTACACCTTGTATTTTGCTCTGAATGTTTTGTTAATATATAATACTCAACTAAAGTGTAACTTTTGTGGTCATATGCACTGTATCTGCACTCGGAAAGCATAAGTTTAAGAGAGAGAAAATAAAGTAGTCTCTACACTACTAATATTTTTGAACACCTTCATCTGTTGCAACATTGATACATTGAGTTTAAGTTCAGTAGACGCTGCATAATTGGGGAGGGGACTAATGTGACTTTGTGTACTAGTCCTGTTTACATTTTTTGAATTCTTCTGCGTTTGTTGTCCACTCAATAGAACATCTATTTTTTGGCATCTTTTAAATATTTATGCAGGAGCTTACATTTTGACTGAATGACAGGAATTGTCAATAAAAATTTATCACCACCATAAATCTACGTAATTCTTTTAATGGATTGCAGTTTAGAGATGTTCTTTGTTTCTGAAACTTTCTTGGAAAACCTTGCTGATTCTAGCCCAGGCATGGCCAACATACGGCCCACAGACCGGATGTGGCCCGTGTAATGGATTTATGTGGCCTGCAATTAATCTTTCAATATTGGCTACTCAAGTCAGAATAGATTGGTGAAAAATTCTAATGCCCAAAAAAAGGTTCAACAACAATTGAGTGTGCATTTAGAGTTAACCCTCCATTACAATTCTCTTGAGTACAGCGTAGAACATTGATAAAGCATGATAATGTGAAAAATGTATGTGTAATCTTCATGTACAATTTAGTTTCTACAGGGTGACACCACAATGAGATCTCGCATGACCTCAAAATCTTCCTAGGGCAGCCTCTGGTTCAGCCCGTGAAAAAAAGTTCTCTTTCCAATTCGTCCCAGGGGCAAAAACTGTTGGCCACCCCTGTTCTAGCCTCTGATATGTGATAGTTTATTCCAATTGGCTTAATATGCATTTAGAAGGATTAATTTGCACAGTCTTTGAAATAGTGCAAGACTTTTAATGTCTAGGTATTCTGCTGCATCATATTAAGTCATTGAAACATAATCAAAGATATGGTACACAAAAGTCTAATCCATGAAGAATTTCATAAAACACTGAATGTTTGAGCAATGTTATGAAGGCCAAATGTCAATTCAAATAGCCTAAAAAGCATAATAATCTTTCTTGGAATATTAATATAGTTAATTATATACTGGAACTTTTCAGTAGACACTGACATGCACAAAAACTGCTTTTACTTGAAGGTCTCTAAATGTGACCAAAAATATTTGTAATTTAGAGTAAATGGGTGGTTTTTTTTATTATTATTAGTGTTTTTCAGAATATCCTCTTGGTTGATCAGAATCTAATGATATTCTCTAGCTAAATCAAATGTTGAAAATATCCTTTTATTCTGCAGATCTTGTATATAGTCTGGACATGTGGATTAGGGTAATGATTCTTATTATCACTATATTTAGCTGTGTGTATTTTCACATGGCATCTAATTTCCATTACTCTTACACCAGGTGCAGTGGATTGGCCAGTTGGTTGTGAGAAGGCCAGCATATCCCTTGAGCTAACATGTATTCAAACATGTGTTTTTCCAGCTTTCTTTATCTTACAGAACATTATGTATAAGAGGCTTCAGAGGTGTAGACAGAACTAATTCTGAAAACTAGGTCAACAAATGATGGAACCAAGACTTTCCCCAAATAAATGTGATAAATTGCATGGGAACTATGGCTGTTGCTCTTGCTATGGTTAATTTGGTACATGTGTCTATAAACTATTTATTTTGAACATTATTACTGGCCCAAATTTTTCTAGAACCTTCACTGCTGTGATGGGTTCAGAAACTTCTTCAATGGTGAACTGCCATTTGAAAGAGGCCAACATAGTCTCAATTGTTATCCATATGTTTGAATGATTGATCCATTTGTTGCGAACAGCTGCAACCTTTCATGTGGTGCTCTGTTGCAAAGAGTAAGTGACGTAGCTGAAATAACCATCAGGAAGCATGCAGCAATTGCTCTGTGTTAGAAATAGTCTGTCTTCTGTTTGCATTTACTTGAGGTAGGTAGTGATGGCCAAATTCGTTTCTCATTATTTTCCTTCTACTTTCCTGAAGCTAGCAGGGATATTTTATATTTATATTTTAGCAATATATTTTATCATTTTTTGCTAAATTTTCAATGAAACAAACCTATCTTGGCCCCAGATGCTGCATTTGCTTGGTGAGATCTGTGATCCATTTTTTTTTAACCAACTAATATAATTTGTTTGCCATATGGATTCTTGAGAGAAATTTCTATCTTACAGATTGTCTGCCATTTCTGATAACTTTGTAGATTGTTACCACTGATGACTAGTATCTGTTGTATTACTGTAGGAAGATGTTGCATCTATAGCAACTTTAGTAGATCACTATTCAGTAAAACTGCATTCATCATACATTGATAAGGTCATGTTTTTTCATCTTTCTTGTTTTTTTTTTATATTTAAATTTGACACATACATGTTAATTTTTGATATTTGAATCAAATATGTCATCTTTGTGGATTTATTTTTAATCTATGTAGAAGTCCAACATGTGCAGTTAAACAGTTGGGATTCTAAAGCATTAAAGTTCAAAATGCAAATTGTTCCAGAGGACAGCTTTCAATTTTTATTTTTAAATTGTTACTGTTTTTTTATCCTGAGAAAGGGTGTTTAAAATGATTGAAAATGTTAGAAAATGGTAAAATTCACACTACATTTAAAGGTATGAGTGCTTGTTTTTTGTAGTTTAATCAGTATATCATGTATTGTATGATTTGCAGTGAGGTCACAAATCTTGCTAAGGACTTGAGAAGGGTACTGATTTCCATGCCCTTGGAGTAACAGTGTGGGTAATATTGTTCAGTCTACAAATTGATCAATTGAACTATGAACATATTATACTTATTCTTCATGGAAGAATTACAAACAATATCACTCACTTGAGCAAGGACTTCTATTATCACTGTTACCTGTTTGATTTTGGCTTTGTCCAAAGTAATATTTGCTTTAGCAAATTGTGCTTCAATTTGTGCAACCACAAGAATAGAGTGGCATTTTAAAATTAGGATGCTCTTACTGCCATGTATGTGATCTCAATATGCAAAATATTTATGATTCCCATCATTCTTAATTTTTGAGTCTTTTTACCTGTATTACATATATGTAAACATCTTAAAACACAATGATTATCATATTAAAGCCAAACAATTGCCAGATTAAATCAACTACATTACCACTACTAATAATTATTAAATCTTGAGTAATTTGGCACTAGAAGTAGGTGTTAGGCACCATTTGTTATTAAATTTAATAATTAAATTAATATTAAATAATTTAGAAAATTCTGGAAGAAAGCAATTGGTCTGGAGTGGGACATGAACCTGCAACTTTTGCTTACCCTGCAGATGCTACCTGAACCTCTATCTGATCCCTCGCTTTCAGACATAACATATTTACTCACATATAAGACAACCTCGCATATAGGATGATGTCACTTTAAAGATCAAAATAAAGAAAATTAGATTTATTAATACGATTCTAATTTTATTTGTTTAATCACAAATAAAATATCAGTAAATGTACACATTGTCTAACAAAAATGACTGGCATTTTAAATCTTAAGGAACAATTTTGTAAAATTGACAACATAATTTGTTATTGTGAAGCTGGACAATCAGGAACCTTTTTTGCCAATTCTTAACAGTAGAATCCACTCTTCATCAGTTAAACTTATGAGTTTCTCCGAATTCTGATTTCCAAATAATCATCTCTTTTCATGTGAGAATGGATTAAAACATACATGTATATTAAGCTATGTGATTTTGGAATTTAATTCAAAAGCTTTGCTTTTCCTATTGCTATTCATCTTTACTCCTGACAATACACAAGAATGATTGAAACAACCCAGATAAAATATTTTTGTTTTTAAACACCAGAGGGTGAGCATCCAGTAAAAAATGTGAATACACGGTTCACAAAAATTATTGAAAAAACACAAAGAATCCTTTGCTCGCACGTATAGGATAACCTAGGATTTTGAAGCAGTGAAAAATGAATAAAAACCTCGTCTTATATGTGAGTAAATATGGTATTTTAATTTATGTAATCATACTAGTTACTTACAGCGCCAACTGTGTACAACTCAGTGCCTAGGGTTATAATCACCCACTATGGCACTCAGCCAGCTAACACTTTTTTCTTCCAGAATTATCTAAATTATTTAATGAATATTAATTTAATTATAATTATTAAATTTAATAAGAGATGGAATGGAATGCCTACCTCTAGTGCCAAAAATTATTCAATATTTAATAATTACTAGTAATAGTAATGTAGCCTAGTTTAATCCTGTAATCATTTGACTTTAATATAATCTTTAGTCTTTGAGATATTTATATATGTAAATATCACATAAATTTCAATGTAATATAAAATATTTTTTCATTATTCAAATTTTGCAAATTTGTATTTCTAATAATTTTCAGAAAAAATGGGAAAAAAGAAAATGCAAAAAGATTCACCACCTGATGAAGGTGAAGCAGAAGAATATACAGTGGAAAAAATTCTTGACAAGCGAATTCGTCATGGAAAAGTAGAATATTACTTAAAATGGAAAGGTTATTCAGAGTAAGTATATCTCCAAGTCTTTATTCTTAATAAACAGTTATACATCAAAATGTAAAATTTTCTAATGTTTTGAATTAATATATAATAAATAATAGTATACTTGCTTACTGGAGAATAAAATTAATAAAAATAAAAACCATTCAACTATCCAGCAAAATTCTTTAATAATTTAAAACGTTTTCAAACGCATTAAGCGTTCATCATCAGTTATTTCTCTAATTCAAAATGTGAAATTCGAAAAATTATGCAACAGAAATTCCAAATAACGTTTATGTAAAAAATTAAAAGGTAACGTGTTACAAACGAAAGTGCTATATACAAATTTCGTGTACTTAATAAACAATAATAATAATAATAATAACAAATAAATAAATAAATAAAATATCTATCGACAATCATCATAAGCCTGATTGAGCCTTTTATATAGATCTACGCCAAATCGTCGCAAAAAGATTTCCAAGTGGACGAAAACCCATCGGCATCCCTATAGTTGATACACTGCGTGCTCTTCTGTCCCTGTGGATTTCCAGCTTTTTGAGATATTTTACCGCGTGTCTAGATGTGGTGGCTTTTATTATAGATGCCTGGTCCCAGAAAACAGTAATTCCTTGTTGTTTAGCATAAGTGGCAAGAACCATGCTGTCAATTGTTTTGTTCACTGAAAGCTTATGCTCATTGATTCTTTTTTCAAATTCCTCAAAGTTGCGCCTATATATACTAAGTTAGAGTTGAACCTGTGGTATCGAGTATATTCCTGTTAAGGAATTGCATTCATAATTCCCCTTGTCATTCCTTAACATTCTGTATATACAGTGGTACCTCAGGTTACGAACGCCCCAGCATACGAAATTTTCAGGATACGACATGAAATTCAAACATATTTTTGCTCCACAATACGAACAAAAACTCATCATACGACGTTACATTAGTTCGCATTTTTCATTTGTTTTTCTTACTACAGTTATTTTTTTTAATGTATTACTTGGCTTTAATTTGAGTATGTTTTTTGCGTTGGAACGAATTATTTGGTTTTACATGTAATCGTATGGGAAAAGATGATCCACCTTACGACATTTTCATGATACGATCTCAGTTTCGGAACGGATTAATTTCGTATCNTTTTTCATTTTTGAACTCAGGGTACCTTAAAATGTTGAGAAATAAAAAAGAAATCTGGGATTTTTCCCTGTAAGTTAAGATGTTAGTGTGAGTAATTGAGAGATAGAGGGGTGCACAATTTTGTTCATCCATTTTGAATCTTAATATCTCTTGTACCTTTTGTGAAAAATTTCTGAAATTTTGCAGGGAGGATTGATGCTATTAAATTTTGGTGATTAAGGTCAAGGGGTGGATATGTAGGGGGGAGATAGAGGATCATGTCTTTGTTTCAGATATTATATATTAGTAAAAATAAAAACCATTCAACTATCCAGCAAAATTCTTTAATAATTTAAAACGTTTTCAAATGCATTAAGCATTCATCATCAATTCGAAATGTTTTCAAACGCATTAAGCGTTCATCAATTCAAAATGTGAAATTCGAATCCGAAAAATTACGCAACGGAATATCCGTTGCGTAATTTTTCGGATTCGAATTTCACATTTTGAATTGATGAACGCTTAATGCGTTTGAAAACATTTCGAATTGATGATGAATGCTTAATGCATTTGAAAACGTTTTAAATTATTAAAGAATTTTGCTGGATAGTTGAATGGTTTTTATTTTTACTAATATATAATATCTGAAACAAAGACATGATCCTCTATCTCCCCCCTACATATCCACCCCTTGACCTTAATCACCAAAATTTAATAGCATCAATCCTCCCTGCAAAATTTCAGAAATTTTTCACAAAAGGTACAAGAGATATTAAGATTCAAAATGGATGAACAAAATTGTGCACCCCTCTATCTCTCAATTACTCACACTAACATCTTAACTTACAGGGAAAAATCCCAGATTTCTTTTTTATTTCTCAACATTTTAAGGTACCCTGAGTTCAAAAATGAAAAAAATTTTGGAGTCATTTTCTGATTAATCACCATACTTTCTTTTTCTCTGTTATATGTAACAGCCAGGAAACTAATAACAATGTGTTTGTTTCATTGTGATTGATGTTCAAGTGTACTATCAAGTGTACATTGTACTATCTTGTTGATACATCAATGTCACAACTGTCCACTTTTTGTTTGTTATTGCCCTACTGTTTTGAATATGACAACTGAAAAGTTAAACATTTTTTAACTAAATCTTGTGAACTGTGGTAGAGAAGCAAATTTTCATTTCTGTTTCTGATTACTTTTCCATAAATAGAATAAGGCTTGCTTTCTAAGTTGTTGGAAACAGAAATTTATCTTTTTCATATTTTGCCTTATTGGTATAGTTTCATAGAGAAATTATTAATTTTCTAATCATCCAAAACATATGATGCACATGTGAAATATTTCAAATAATATATTCTTAACAAAATTCTTGCTAAAAGAAGTCTATACTCTACAAGAGAATACATTAGACATTGGTAGTACTGTACATTAATTGAAATCTTAGATTTTTCTACTGATTTGATTCTATTGTAAATTGATCAGCCTGTAATTTTATACAAAATAATGTTTCTAAAAACTTACAAGAAATGTTTAAATTGATTATTCAGCAACATAAATGATGTCTTCTTCATCAGCTGTATTTGAAGTCCCATTATGATGATTTGTTCTTAAATTTTTATAAAAAATCATGTTTAATAGGAGGGATGAAAAAAAATTATTTTTAGTTTCATCCTTCTTGATATAATGGTATAACTCTTCTTTTTTCTGAAAACAATTGCCACCAAAATTAAAACAATCATTTAATAATTCACAAGTATACTTACTTCTGCGGCAGTTGGACTGTAACTAACTAATTTCTTTTACCTACTTTTTGTGATGAGATAACATTAACTAATTTACCATTATCCACAAGGCATTAGTCAGTGCACACAGTGATTGCAATGCTGTGTATGCTAACATCAATCTGATTAACCCCATACTGTAACATAAATCTGCCAGTATGTGCTGACGGATTTATGTTACAGTATGGAGTTAAATAGATTGGTTTCTGAAATAAATAAAAGTTTTTTTGATGGTCAATAAAATTTTGTCATTAAATGGTATTGATCCTTCTTAATAAGGAAACTTATTATGAATGTAAAAAGTTACAAGTATATCAAGTGCTTTGACACTAAAATTTAAAAAAAAAATTTGAAATGTGGAGTTAATCTGTTTGGCTTGTGAATGGCTCAATTCAATAATATTAATTGAATTATTAGAAATTTAGAATTTATAGTGATTGTGAAATAATTCATAAGCATATAATGTGTGTTTTGGAAATTATTTTTTTGAATAAAATATAATATACTATAAAATTTTAATTACAGTGCAGATAATACATGGGAACCAGAAGAAAATTTGGATTGTCCAGATCTCATAACAGAATTTGAAGAGAAGCGTAAGAAAAAAGCAGAAGAAAAAAAAGACACGCCTGAGAAAAAAAGAAAAGTAAATGGTACAGAAAGCAATGAAGGATTAGTTCAGAAAAAACGAAAGAAAACTGCAGAGGTATTAAATATTTTCTTTAATATGAGATATTTGTTTTGTGTATTTTAACATGCTTTAAAATTAAAATTGGTAAATTTTGTACATTATACAGACTTATTAAAGGACATATTATAAATATATATTATGTATTAACCAGTTAAAATGCCAGATGCAGGCATCGGGGCATACTAAATAGTTAGCATGCATAGCAATGAAAAATAATTAATTGCAAATGATTTACCTACATGCAGAGACGTTCGGCAGAACACTGTTGAAAGTGAACTGTCCATAACTATCATTGTCAAGTACTAAAATCAACATTCCTACATCCAATTCTCGTGAAATAACTTTCAAAATACCAATAAGATATTACATATTTCCGTTATGATTGGAAAGAAATACCGTAATATCTCATTTCCAGTTCAAAACATAATAATGAAAAAATAAAAGTATAACTATCATTTTCACACACACTGACCTACATCACTATATTATTATTATTATTATGTTGGATTTAGTGGGTAATACTCGGTACACACCGGTGGCTGTGTACTATGCCGGACCAGAGTCAAGGCATAGCAACCAAAACTAATTAAATAAGTGTGTCAGTGTCAGTATNTTGTTTTATAAGCTTTATACATGAGGAATAATAATGCTAATGATGTTGCAAAATAATAATGTTACACATAACAAAGCTAAACTATAAATAACCAAAATATCTATATCATTTAACTCTAATCCCTCTCATCTTATCCACTCAGCTATAGCCTTGAGATGTAAAACTTTCAAAGACTTGTTATAGTGTGTGGTAATGCTCTATACTAGAGCTTGGCCACACATCTAATGTTAAAAGTGCCAAATTTGACCATTAATATTTCAAAAACAAATGAGTCAATTTGGATGATATTTAAAATGTTTAGTGTTGTGATGAGAACTACAGAAGTCTTAAATTTTGAATAAGTTTGTTGGATCATTCTGGACTTATGCTATCTCAAATTTAGCATTTTTTTACACTAGATTTATGAGAGAGATTTTTGTGATGCAAAAATCACTCTTTTGTGGTCCTTTTGAAGGTTTTATTTTAAAATATTGAATATTCAAAAAATTATAGCCCAACATTAACGTTTTATTGGTCAATTGTGTACCGTGTGACATGACATCACATGGTATACAATCAATTAATAATAATAATTGTGTACAGGTAACCCCCATATAAATAACATGGGAGTTGTTCCAAAAAATTGCCATGTTATATGAAACAAAGAACTAGTACAAAAAGGGGGGGTTAGGTTCCAAAAATTAAAAAACATGCTATTATATTTTCATAATTAAGCTAAATATCTTTATTAAAATTTTCTTAAGAAGTGATATGTATTAATATAAATTAAACAATGTTTTCTTCATCATCACAAAGCACTATTAACTGAGGGCATTTTCTTTTTGGCAAGATACCCTCTGAGCATTTTTCTGCATTATTTTCAGATCCATGCTCTACCTTTTGCAAAAAATACGTTATTTTAGATTGCTTGCTTTTAGTTAAAAGATCTTTATAAATTTCTTTATATGGTGCTAAGCACTTATGAAGAATAAAGCAAGTATGGAATAAGGGAAAAACATCTGGCAACACCAAAAGCAGAAGCATCAATTTCTGGCAACACTGAAACAAGTTTTGAGAAGGACAGTGTGTATAAACAAAAACACTGAGTTCGGCGTTAAAAACGCATTTAACGCCGAACTCAGTGTTTTTGTTTTTGTTTATTTATTAATTTGGCGTGTTAGTCAACATATTGTTTACTGACAGTGTGTATCGACAAAAGGTAGGAAAAGAAAATTTACACACTTAAGTACTAATAGTTCATGAAAATTAAGCAGGAAAATCTGATAGTACGTACGCGCTTGAATGAAAAATGTCAAATGAGGTATCTTTCACACTTAAAAGCTTTATTACATTTGTTGTGGTAAGGGATTTCTCTAATTTCAAATTAGATAAAGTTTGCATTTAATAGTTTTTACTACTGTACATTTCATGTTGTATGAGGGTTTTACCCAATTCTCGAACCGTGTTATAGTGAATCCATGCTATAGAAGTGCCATGTTATACGGGGGTTACCTGTATGTTATGTTTTTCATTATACGAGGGGGACCAAAAAAAAAAACTGAACTGAGAGCATGCTGCCATTCGTAGACGTAGTAGAGAGTTCTCCCGCTACATTGGGTTAGTAGAGACCCTCACGAAACAGCTGTGCAGACAGCATCAGTTTGTAGGTTTTTGTTTGAGTGTAGTGTTGTGTTTCTCTTACTGTTATTTTGTTCTGCCTGCAAAGTTCTGGGTGTCCTTCAACATCTCAAAACGATGAAAACATTGAAAAAATCCACCAAAAAAGTTTTAAGACGTCTGCAAGAGGATGTGCGAAGGAAATGCCCGGAACTTTGGCGATCAGGTGACTGGTTCCTTCATCTCGACAACATCTCTGCGCACATGGCCTTACAAGTGACCCACTATTTTGCCTCTCAGGGATTGCCTGTTGTTTCCCACCCTCTGTATTCACCAGATCTAGCCCCGTGTGGACTTTTTTCTGTTTCCAAGAATGAAGAAAAATCTAAAAGGAAAGCATTTTGATGATGTGGAGGCGGTAAAAACAGCTTTTCTAAGGGCACTGGGCAATATCAAGGTTGAAGAGTTCCAGAAATGCTTCAAACAGTGGGGTAAAAGACTTGACAAGTGAATTGCATCTAATGGAGAGTACTTTGAAGGTGACTGAAGGAATTTTGTAAAAAAGTTAATAAATAAAGTTTTTATACAAAAAATCTGATTTTTTTTTTTTTTTTTGGGTCCCCACGTATTTATTTTCTGAGACATTAAGGGAAGTACAGACTATTAAATGAACCTGGATATCTGCCCCACCCCTGATTTTACCCCCTTTTATTAACTTTTAAACCATTTGCTCGATCTGCACCAGATTTTTCATACTTATTTTCTGGACCACTGAGAAAATTTCAAGACTACAATGTGATTGTCATATGAATATATCACGAGTTGTGAGTTATCATGAAAATTATTCTCTTGTGAAGCTATTGATGACTGAAAAATACTTGAAATACCATTTAAAAAAACTGGTGAAACCAAGTTGAAAAAGTAGAGCTCAGAAGAAACATCTATATAAAGGGAACTTTTGAATGTTATGGCATAAGAATAGTGGAAGCAGATTTGGCAGTAAGACTCAACATGTGAATAAAGTGCACATTACACAGACTACAACTACTGGAAGTTTTGGAGGAAGCAGTCATCGGCATAAAAAATCAGAAAAATAAGCATCATCACAAAAAAAGGCTTTGAGCTTTACTTTGTTCCTTAAAGTCATTGCACTACATTAATTTGGTTGAATGTTAGAACATGTTTGACCAGTACAGTGAAGAAAGTTTGAGGCACAAAGTAAAGCTTGAAGCCTCTTTTTATGATGATTATTTTTCTGATTTATTATCATGATGACTGCTTTCTCCAAAACTTCTGATTGTTGTGTGTAAAATGTGCACTTTATTCACATGGTGAGTCTTACTGTCAAATTTGCTTCCACTGTTCTTATGCCACAATGTTCAACATTTCCCTTTCTGCTGAGCTCTACTTTTTCATCCTGGTTCCATCAGTTTTTTTATGGGATAAACTAAACACTAAAGGCCCAATTTTTGGAAATGCTTGAGAAGTGGGTCCTATTATTTGGACAAGCAGATGCTTGAATTTAATTAAGGCTACATGAAGATCAGGTTTTGTTCGAATAGAACTCAAACGTTAGACCTTCCCTTGTTTGCAATAGGAATAATTTTTTAATAATTCCAAATAACACATTTGATCAGTGTTACAGGTTTTATCATGTCAACATTTTTGTTTCAAGTAAAAAACAATAAGTTTTACATGGCCAACGATTATTTAATATTAAAATAATAAATGTAAGTACGACTCTTACAAAAAAAAATTTTTTTGTTTCAGTCATTTCTTTCATTGTTCGCACCATCAGCAGTTCATAAAATCACAAACACTCACGGAGACGACCTTCCTTTTTAGGCTACTGCCTCCGTAGTCGTACTTACATTTATTATTTTAATATTAAATAATCGTTGGCCATGTAAAACTTATTGTTTTTTACTTAAAATGTATTATGTGATTGTGGCAAGAACACCAGATGACGCTTTTATCTTTTTTGCATTTTAACTACGGAGGCAGTAGCCTAAAAAGGAAGGTCGTCTCCGTGAGTATTTGTGATTTTATGAACTGCTGATGGTGCGAACAACGAAAGAAATGACTGAAACAAAAAATTTTTTTTTTTAAGAGTCGTACTTAATTTTATTATTTTAATATTAAATAATCGTTGGCCATGTAAAACTTATTGTTTTTTACTTAAAATGTATTATGTGATTGTGGCAAGAACACCAGATGACGCTTTTATCTTTTTTGCATTTTAACTACGGAGGCAGTAGCCTAAAAAGGAAGGTCGTCTCCGTGAGTATTTGTGATTTTATGAACTGCTGATGGTGCGAACAACGAAAGAAATGACTGAAACAAAAAATTTTTTTTT